AGAAAATGTCTAAACTGTCCTTTCTATTCTGATAAATAAGCGTTCATCACATAACTATCTGAATAAAAAATTTTTTAACAACAAAACCTCTTCCATTTATCTCACATTTCATTACTCAATTTTTTTCTAAGTCAGCAACAAGGTGCCCAGTTTGATTGCCGTTTAGAGCCAGAAATATTGCTTTCAAATCTGGATTTATTAGGAAGGCTTTTTATTTGATAATTTGTTGATCTATACATAAAAATTTAAATCCAATATAACAATTTATTAATTGCCCTTTAATTGTCTGCAGAAAAACTGTAAACTCGTGTCTACTACACATTAAGGGCGTGAGTCTCTGACGTAGTTGCACTTCCGAAAAGCGTATTTTCTATTCCATTTTTTCATTTTTCCATAACTAATACACAACTTATATGCACTTTTTATCCCTAACATACGTATATTAGTAGGATTATTAGCTAAGAATATATATTTATTAGTGTAGTCTAGTATAGGTTTAAAATCTGCACAATTAATGTGAAAAGATGACTGCTAGTTTCGTGCGCATGTTCAGCTCATCATGAGAATGTACCAATTAAACAGCTGCATTGCTTTTTTTGGGTCCATCAAGTAACTTAGAGTTTACCTTTAAGACAATGATCAGATGGATAATTGCTTGTATATTATTATTAGAATGATTTTCAGCTCAGATGATTTCTGCCCTGTTTGCTGTCAGAAATTTCTTAAGTTATTTTTATTCACATGATTTTTGTATCTGATCCAAATTCTGATAGGATTGCAATGTTATTTAATTCAGGTTCTGCTTTGAATTACTCATGGATACTGGTCGGGCACATTAACGGATTTGCCTTAGACTTTCTCTATAAATATTACTTACATGTGTCAATACATAATATTTATTTTTGAGATCTGTTACTTTGAATCAATTACCCCTGAAACCGTTTAAGATCAACATAAAGCCTTTCCGAGACAAAGACTTTCTCTTGGTCGGTTTAATTAGGAGGATTTTGTACATTTTTGCTCTAAGGCGTGATTGGAAATGGATTTCATGCCATATTGCTAAGCATTTATTAGGTCTTACTGGATGTGGCGAAACAGACACGCAACTGGATTACTGACGAGGGTCACCGCTTGATATTGGATGTGAGAGGTATACGTTGAGCTTATGATAGTTCTCGTTTTATTCGTGCATCAATCACGTGGAATGGAATGGTATGACGGAGTGGTGCTGTTTGAAGATGTGCAAAGGAGGAGGTGATTTGCAATTAAGACGCTGCAAGAACAAGTGCCCTTTACGCTGAGACAGTGTGGCTTGCAGTGAGCCGAGAAGAGGCATGACGACCTGACGGCCTCGTGGAAGGTTTGATCCGGCGAACTGGCTCAAGTGACAAGACGAGTATGAAGGTAAGGAGATCGGATAGTTGTGGAGCCGAAGGTCTTGACTGTCTACAGGCAAGAATCTGAAGTAGAAATGATTGTCGACTTCTGATTGGTGGCCCATGATGGATCACAGTCTGGTACGGC